CCCTTCCTTTCCCCACGAGGATGTACAAGGAGAGGTTGGAACACGAGTGCGGAGGTTTTATAGAAATGCTCCACAACCTCCACCTCAATATCCCTTTCCTTGAAGCCATGGCTCAAATGTGATGCCCTACAAGCCTTAGTGATGAGTGTTCGGTTATCCTCCTCGATTGCTTGCCCAAAAAGCGGTCCGACCCAGGTAGCTTTACTATCCCTCTTAGTATTGGTAACCATCATATAGAAAATTCCTTGGCAGATCTAGGAGCTAGTGTTAATGTCATGCCCTACAAGCTTTTCAAAAAGTTAGAAGTGGGTGAACTTAAGACCACTAAGCTTAGCATCACTTTAGTCGACTGTTCTATCATTAGCCCGAGAGGCATCGTGGAGGACATGTTGGTGCGAGTGGGCAAGTTTTGCTATCCGACTGATTCGTGATTCTCGACATAAGCGAGGACTTGGATATGCCACTCATACTCGATCGTCCCTTCCTCTCCATCGCCAAGGCATTGATAGATGTTAATGAGGGGACCTTAATTCTGAGGGATGGTGAGGAGAGAATCACTCTTGAAATTGACCCTAAGGCTAGAGGTGATGAAGTGAAGGAATTGGTTTCGAATGATGTGAATATGAGTGGAGGAGAGCTTCTCAAGGAGAACCCCACTATTACTTGTGTCATTTGTGGTGATGTTGAGTAGGAAGCCAAGGAGGGTACTATGCCCAATGAAAAGAAGAAGAATGTGTGGAGGCAAAAGATGAAACAAGATTTGGCCCAAATGAAGGATAAGGCCAAAGTTAAGTTGGCCGGCCAAGAGGGCCACCGAAGCATAAGTTGGGAGGCTACATGCCTCATCGCGAGGACGTGGCAGATCCACTCTCGGTGGCATCATGTTCAAAAGCATGATAGATCTGCAACGTCAACCTAGTGATGTTAACTTAGACCCTGTTGGGAGGCAACCCAATGGAGGTTTGTTTTCTTTTTCTTGTTCTTATTTTCGTGTTTCTGTTGAGTGAAGAGTTCAAGTGGTCGAGTGGTATCCCTGTGCCAAGTTTTGGGGTTTTGCGATTTAAGGTTGTGTTGTGATCGTTAGGAGGCACAGTGGAATAGGTCGAGTCCAAATTTTCTCAGAAGTGCCCTGTTTTCACTCGAGTTCACGGACAGACTTGAATATTCACAGTCTTACAAGACCGTGAATAAGCAAACGAGTCCGTGAACTAGGCACCTCTGCTTGTGAACCACCTGTCGCCCAACCCGAGTTCACGGACGGACTTGAGTGTTCACGGTCTCTAAGACCGTGAACAAGCCAACGCGTGCGTGAATACCGTACTTCGCCTGTAAAAAGGGGCTTGAACGGCAACTCTTTACTTCACGACCCAAAACTCGTCGAAAAACTGCGAAAACCCGATGGTTTTTCATCTTTTCACCCATTTATGGTGAGCAAAACCCAAAACCAACTTCATACCCATTCTTCCCACATCAAAACCGGCCTGTGCTACAATTTTGGGGAGATTCGGGGCAAGTTTTTTTCCGGCAAGGTCGCTGGCGGTGAGTCTCCGATGAGATTCCGACGAAGCTCCGACGACCACTCTCCGGTCTATTTTCAGTAAGTTTTTCCCTTCCTCGCCCGCACCTCACTTCCTCCTACGTCCTACTTGAGCCTCCAGGTTGGTTTTTCAGCTCTACCTTGTTTGATTTGGGAGAGTCGGATCAGGTAGTAAAGTGAGAATAATTTGTACTGCTTTGAATGTTGAATCTATAATTAGGGCTAGTAATTAGGCAGATTAGGTTGATTGAATGTTGAAGTGTTGTTGCATGAGCTTAGTTGAGCCTTAGTGGCCATTTCGTGATTCGAATTGCTTTTATTTGTATTTTTGCCCACCAAGAGCTAGTTATTGAATGAAAATTGGTTGATGTTTTTGAATGGTGGTTGGTAACCACCGTGGCATTGGTTCGGGTTGGATTCCTTTTTGTTGATGAACCGTGAAATACCCACCACCATGCCACCGGGGGGGGGGGGGGGGGGGGTTGAGCTTAAATGTTTGAACCCATAATGGAAATAAGTGTGGGGGGAATTTCTTTTTCCTCCCAATGAATGGTGCTTAACGGATATTTCCATGTATGGTGTTTGTTTGCCAATTTTTGCAGGATGCTTAATGAGGAGCATGAATTCATTAGTTGCCTGGTGAACCATCCGCGGTTTGGCGACAAGTTCGCCTACCATAAGAGTGTTTGCGCACGTATGGAGTGCCGAAATCAATGGAAGAGATCCCATGGATTACCCCAACAAACTGTTCTTCGACTACTTTGCGCCATCATCGCTGACTTCCTTTGGGATATGAAGAACCCCATCTTCCGCAATGCCCCCATTAAGGAATAAGAAAATGCTATCGTGATTTCATTCAAATCTCGATGAACGACTCAATCAATGAGCGACCCAGATTGGCACACACTCCAGTGGGATTGAGATTGAATTTAGACTGTAATTCGGTATTCGTGATTTCGTTATTTGGTATTGGATTGACACATACTCTAGTGGAATTGTGATTGATTTTAGGATGTAATTCGGTTTTCGAGATTTCGTTATTTGGTATTGAGATACCGATACCGTATAGATTTCTACCCCTAAGTACAATCCTCTAATTGGTACCAAGTTGCGAAAAGTAGTGATTTGTCGGCTGGCATCAATACAATCAACTAGGGGTGTGCATGGGTCGGGTGGTCCGAGTTTAGCCATTTTAATCACCCGACCCATGCTCTGCGGTTTGGAAAATATTAAACCCAAACCCACAAAAAAAAAATTAAAACCCTACGGTTTGTTTCTACCTGGGTTGGTTCGGGTTGAGCATATTTTTAAGTAAGAATCCAACTCAACACAAAATATTTAATTATTCTACACCATAAAAATATTTTATAACTAATTAAAATTTCATACGAATAAACCATGGTGAAAGGTATCAAAATTACAAATGTTGTTTGAATTTTAATAAAATGTGATTTAAATCTATGTCTAAACTTTAAGCCGAGGAGTGCATTAGATTAGGGAGACCATGAGAGAAAGACATGGCGAAATATCTTAATTTTCTAATAAGTATGAGTGTATGACTATATAGGACATAAATATTTTTTGGATACGAACTCATAGGCTAAATTACACGTTTGATCACTCGAATTATACAAATCTTTCACGTTTGCCACCCTAACTATTTTTCTTTCTTATTCGCCACTAACTTTACGAATCGTTTCACCGTTAGTGTCCTATGTTGCAGTCAACTATAAAGTTTGACCGTTAACTAAATGACGTGGAAATTAAAAATAAAGAATAAAAAACATATTTAGCTTTCCACCTGATCATCCCCTACTTTGTCTATATTATCAGATCAATTATTTAATAAAAATTAAATAAATTAAAAAAAATTAATTTAGTGGCGATTTGCTGGAGCAGAGCGGGAGCGGATTTGTTACAGTAGCCGGTCGAGGAGATTGAGAGCATGAGGCGGGGAGGGATTTTGAACCTGTTCAAACACTGTCGGAGACGGAATTTCAATCCTCCCAACAAGCAGAACCCAGAACAAATATAAAATTTTAGTTCCGGAGGATTCCGGCCTTCTTCCTCCTTACCCTCCTCGGCGGTGACGAACATCCTTCATATTCCTCCTCAATCCTCAAGCTCGATCGCAGCAGAGATTGCGGCAATGGACGGATCAGAACCCGGCAGAAGCAGAAAGTGTTTGCGTGCGGCGGAGGACGTGTTGTGGTGGGCCACTCAATTCCTTCTACCTCCTAAGGCTGGGCGTTGGTGCATGATGGATTGGTCGGCGGTGGGTGATTGAGGACGATGATTTGCGGCGGCTCTGAAGTTGGGGGAAGGGGAGGGGTAGTACGATGGGGATGGGTGGGCTTTCATTGCTAGGGGCTAGGGATGGCAACAAAACCTGAACCCACCCGACCCAACCCGGTCAACGCGGGTAAAATTCATGTTGACGGGTTTTGGGCCGGGTTCGGGTTTAAACCCGCTACACTATTCACCGGGTCGGGTTGGATTTGGGTTTAGGTAAACCCGCCCCATGGGTACCCGCCCACACACATATAATTACTTTCGCGGTATATTTAATATTCTAAATAATATATCTTCCTTAAACAACTAATATTCTTTATGTTTGTGGAGACATGCATAATTTGTTCTTTCTAATTGTTTAGAATGAAGTTGATATTATGAAGTGGAGTGTGAAGAAACTTAGTTGACGAGTAAGAAGCTTTCAATTAATCTTATTGTTTATAGATGTTTATCTTTGATTTTGAACAATTTGTATTGATCATTTGCGGTTTGCTTGTATGCTCTAGATTGGTGTTTTTTGTATGAGAAAATTGATGTTAAACTTTTATTTTGAAAGAAACTTGTTATTGTAAATTTTTTACCACAAAAACCCACGGGTACCCATGAACCCGCGGATACCCAGTGGGTTGGGTTGGGATTGAGTTTTTCAAACCCAGCGGGTTTTACCCCGGTTTTTTTTGGCGGATAAACTCATGGGTTTGGGTTTGACAAAACCCGCCCCAACCCGACCCATTGCCATCCCTACTAGGGGCAATGGGTTAACAATGTCTTTTTAGTAGGGTTTAGGACGAATGATCATGTGGAATGATGAGGTGCAAATTTTGTTTTTAATGTTTTAATTTACACGTTATCAAGTTAACGGTCAAACTTTATAGTTGACTACGACATAAGATAAATTTAACGGAGTGTAACGATCGGTGACTAACGGTGAAATGATTCGTAAAGTTAGTGGCGAACAAGTAAGAAAAGTAATTCGGGTGACAAACGTGAAAGATTTATATAATTCGAGTGATCAAACTTGTAATTTAAACCGAACTCATACAAATAGTTGGAACACGGGTTGAATCGGTTCTACGGATAGTTTAATCTAGTGGACGTAAAACTCTCGTAAACGGAAATTCACCGAATTCCGTGTCCTCCGTCATTTTTTCTTTCATCCCTTTTCCCCCTTTAGGCCTTTACCTTCATCTCACCATCGTCTAGTCTCGTTCTCGTCACCTCCAAGGAAAGGGCTGACATTCGAATTTCGAAACTCCTACGCGTCCAGAGACCCTTCTGCCGGAAGTCCGCCTCCGGCAGGGAGAGAGAGGGCGCCTCTTCCGATTCCTACCCGGTCCATTCCATGATTGCCCTCTCCCTCTCCTCCTCCTCCGCCGCCACGTCTACCTCCCCCATCGCTCGTGTTGCAATCTTCTCTTCCAATTCTTCAACGCCTCCGCATTGTCGTATGTTTACCCGATTCTCCATTTCCCTGTCGCCGTTCCCCTCTGATGCGATTATTGCGGCTACGCAATCGGGTCGCTTCTAAGTCTGTTGACAGCGATACTACCCACAACGGAATGGATCCCGTCAAGTTCCAACAGCGAGTGGGACCAGCTGCGTCTCGATCCGCCCCCAACTTCGCCTATTACCCGATTTCGCGACCCTCCAAGCGATCCAAGTCCAATCTCATCGTTTTCGGGTTTGTCCTCACCCTGATCGCTTTAATCTCGTGTTATTACCTGTTCCGCACCGGTAAAGTTGTGGATTGGAATAAGAAGTACGGGATTGTTATCGACGGCGGCAGCACCGGGACGCGGCTCCACGTGTTCGCTTACAGGGTTCAGGGCGGGAAGACGGTGTTCGATTTTGGGGAGGAGGCGGCGATGAGGGTTAGCCCCGGATTGTCGGCGTATGCCGAGGATCCGGAATCCGCTGGTTCATCTCTTAATGAGCTGCTTGAGTTTGGGAAGGAGAGAGTGCCGAGGGGGCTATGGGGTGATACAAAAATTCGGTTGATGGCTACTGCTGGGATGAGGTTGCTGGACTTTGATGTGCAACACAGGATTCTAGAATCGTGTAGAAGGGTTCTGAGGCAGTCTAGGTTCGTGTTTAAGGATGAATGGGCTTCTGTTATTAATGGTAAGTTGCCTGGTGGTGATGGCTTTGTCTTCGGAGTCTCAACTTTGTGCCTAAAGGTTTGAGATTTAATGGTGGGTGCCTTGGTTTTTCTTTTTCTTGGCAAGGTTCTGATGAGGGTGTTTATGCTTGGATTGTTGCCAACTACGCTTCCGGTACTCTTGGAGCCGACCCTCTCAAGACAACTGGTATAATTGAGCTTGGTGGAGCTTCTGCTCAGGCATGGTTCCTATTCTTAATTTTTTCACTTTACAGTTTGCTCGCTTTGTACCCTGGATCATTTTTTTAAATTCTGGTTTGGTGAGAGACTTCACAGTACAGATTTTGCCGAACTGAATTGTGTCAATGGTTTGGTACTAGCTTTGACGTGGTATTAACGAAAAATGTAAACAGTTATTAACACTTCTAGGGTGGCAGTTTTGTTGCTAAATCAGACTGTCTTATAACTAGATGTACTAATGGTGACTTGTAAGAGAGAAATTTGGTGAAAAATATCATAGCGAATTTTAACTGCATTAATTTGTTGTAGTGGTAGGTATAGAGTTGACAGTATGCTTTGCAATTCTAATGCTTTGGAGAGGAAATATGAAGTGATGTGTGGAATTGGTGGATATTTTGGTGGTACAGATAACTTTTGTTTCAAATGAGCCATTGCCTCCTGAGTTCTCCCGGACTGTCAAGTTTGGGAATGTAATATATAACATCTACAGCCACAGCTTTCTTCAGTTTGGTCAGGTAATTTGTCATATTTTATTTATTCCTCCATTTTTCTTTTTTCTGCCGTGTCCCAAAATGGTGCTTTTGATTAAAAAAGAAAGTCCAATTCCCTTTCTTTGAACTATCATCATCAATTGTTTTCTTGAGCATTCACATGTGGCTTAAAGCTTATAAATTTCCATCTACCAGAATGCTGCATTTGATGCATTGAGGGAATTGCTAGTGTCACCAGACCATCAATCATGTAAGGATGAAGCTTTCTTTTTCCCGTGCTGTGCATGGCTAAAGCATGTTGAAATTTGTGTTGGTATTACGGTATTAGTGATGCCAGGGAATCATTCTTTCGTTCACAGTATAAGTTGTCTACCAGAGAGCCAAAGCTGCAGCATGTTTGAATGGTGGTTCTTCTGTTTTGGACTGCTACATATGAATCATTCTCTCCTTTTATGCTATTTATGATTAAACACTTGTAAGTTTATAGAAATCTGATACCCATCCTAACAAATACAGCTGCTGAGTTGGTTGAAAAGGGAGGAGTAAAATTGGATCCTTGTACTCCCATGGGGTATTCACATGCTATGGCTGCGGAAAGTTCCTCATCAGGTTCTTTCATTGAAGAGAAGGATAGTCTTCTGTCAAACCTTCAGCCTGGGGGTAACTTTTCTGAGTGCAGATCTGCTGCATTAACACTTTTACAGAAAGGAAAAGGTAATTGCGCTATCTCAGACTTTCCTATAACAGTTTCTCTTACATCTTTGTGATATTGCATTTATGCGTAACTTGTTTTGTCTGATCAACTCATTATTATTTTGGACATAGATAAATGTGCCTACCAACACTGCTCTATAGGACCAACATTCATACCGAAGCTTCAGGGGAAGTTTTTGGCAACGGAGAATTTCTTCTATACATCTAAGGTTGGTTGTTCCTCTCTTTTTGATAAAAAGTACCTATTTGATACTCCCTTAGCTCCCTCTAATAGACGGTTGAGCATTCTCTGACTTCAGGTTATAATCACCTTCGTGACAAATCTATGTGTTGATTGTTGGTAACTGTTTTGGCTCTTCAGTTCTTTGGGTTGAGTCCAAAAGCTTTTCTCTCTGATCTTATGGGAGCTGGAAAACAATTTTGTAAGGAGGATTGGTCAAGTTTGAGAAGGAAGCATAGATCATTATCTCTCAAAGATGATGATCTTATGCGCTATTGCTTCTCTTCTGCGTATATTGTTGCCCTACTTCACGACAGCCTTGGCATATCTTTGGATGATGAACGGTAAAGTTTACCATCTAGCCATCTAGTTCTTTGTCGGATACAATTATGCAGGTTCTGTTCCTTTGAATGGCCTTAATTCATAAATGTCTAAATGGGCTTGTATCAGGATTGGGTACGGCAATCATGTTGGGAATATCCCTCTTGATTGGGCACTCGGAGCTTTCATCTTGCTGACCAGTTCTTCACAGGATATGCAACACCCTAGCTGGATCTCCACTGTTATCGGTGATGATTCACCCACATTATTATGGTTAGTTGCCATTGCCGCATTGTTCATGTTTGCAGTGTGGTCAGTGTCGAAATGGAGGAAGCCTCAATTAAAGACGATTTATGATCTAGAGAAAGGACGATATATAGTTACACGTGTGCGAAGAAGTTGATAGCATTTTTCAGATGTGATACCTGCATTATTATTCTTAAACCTACACAGATCAAAGGGGGAGGTGTCTATCATATAGCTGTTTTGGAGATCCATTGCTTCCCTTGAGTTAGGTGAGAAGGTCAGATAGACAAAGCATTCATATGATTCTTCCATTCGGAGAGTGCTAGGTGAAGAAGATAGTGTAACTAGTGAAACTGTGATAGGAGGAATAGTGGCCTTCCCATTTTGTATTCTGGAAAAGATGAGAAGCATGTGCTAACTCTGAATACGGAAGGGCGGAGAACACTAAAGAGTTTCTTCCTTATTCTCCCCTGTGACTGCAAATTGCTCAGTGTGCAAAGAGCAATGGTAGAAATACGCAGATTTAGAATGAGAGAAGAGGTATGGCAGTTGTCTTGTACACTTGATTGTTTGTGAAATATGATTTGAAGTAAAAATGTGATACAGTGCCTGCGTAGATGTTATTGCTTCTTGTAAATGAATTTTGGACTCAATCTGGGCTCAAGGTAGAGAAAGAACTGTAGGGGTCGTTTGGAAGTTGGAATTTCATATGATGTATTTAACCAATATATTTACAGAAGAATACTTCATATATTTTTTTTGTCTTAAACCAAAACAGAATACTTGTATTTAAACTATAGACGAGACAACAAGAATCATTTGTTATGAATTATTGTTAATCTCAGCTTTTAGGTATTCTTAACTCACTTTTTCTTCCTTATATTTAGAGGGACCACCAAAATCATTCAATCTCTAAACAATGAATTTTGTAAATTCATGCATTGAAACAATATATCTAATTATAACAATACATTGATTAAATGCATTAATTTATAGAATCCTAACTACCAAACATGCCCATAGTTTTGTTATTTCGAGTTGGAGCGCTTTACATTTGGCCGGGCTCCCGCCTAGTTTTGTCCATTCTTCTGGGTACTTTCAACAATCAAATCAATAAATCTAAAAACAAAAGGAGTTTTAAGTCGATTTTAACTATAGGTGTCAATCATGCGGGTTCGGGTTGGGTTCAATTGGGTTTTGGGTTCATCGGTCAGGATTCAATCAGGTTGAAGGTTTGATTCAGGTCAAATTGTACACATTTTACCTCTCATTTCTTGATAGTTTGGCTTTGCATTTCATCATCACTCGACGTATTTCACGCTAGGTTGTGCTTGTTTTGATACATTTCAGGTCGTAGCACGTGTGGAAGGGTCGAGAACGGGTTTCGGGACGATTGAAGTCAAAAAGCGCAAAAAACCGAAGAAAAGTCCAAAGTCCAGGAACCAGGAACCAGCCGCAGTTCACGGTCACATCTGCGAGTTCACGGTCCATGGGACTGTGAACTGGAACCACAAACCGTGAACAACAAAGCGTCTAGAGGGGTTTTTGAGGTTACTGACGCCAAGGCAGTTCAGGTCGCTAAGACCGTGAACTGGAACAACAAAACGTGAACCCCAGAAGTGAAGTAGTGCGTTTTGACCCATCTCACTGAGTTCACGGACGCGTTCTGATGTTCACGGCCGTGAATCGGGACCGTGAACTGAGCACGATTGGGTATAAATAGAGAGCTGAAAGGAGGAAGAAGGAGGGCTTTTGGTAGGTTTTTAGTGTGTAGAATAAAGGAGGGTTTCTAGTGAGAGATTAGGGTTTCCTCTTATTATTATAGAGAGAGAGAGAGAGCAATTCACAGAAGGAAGAAGGAGATTGGGCTTGCCCTAAGCTAGAGGAGTGAAGATTCTTACCTCTCAAGGGAGATTCAAGCAAGGAGGAAGGAAAATTCAAAATTGTCATTTCTTCATGGTTCTTTCTCTCCTCTTTCTTGTTTTCTTTTGCCTAGCTATGGAATAGCCTACCTATTCACTTGGGTGTAGTGAACCCTAGCTTAAAATATGTGAATGCTTGTATGTGTTGAATGATTTTTGTGTGGTTGTGTTTAATGTGAATGTTGATGTATTATTCATGAATGATTGTGTTGTGTGAAAGCCTATAATCTAATTGCCATTCTAACATAGGTAGAGAGAAAACCCTCTTTCCTTTCTTTGAAAAAGGCTTGAATGCTGGGTTTTCTTGGGCAATTCATTGTCTCCTAGTTTGGTTAATGCAGGGCAAACCTCCTATTTTGTACTAGCTTTTTACCCGGCCCATTGGCCGGATATATTTATTTTATAATTTATATTAATTAACTTTTTTATATGTTTAAATAAATTTGGATTTTCTAAATATTTTGTGTTCTTGATCTATAACAGAGTTTGTAGTATGTCTATATTGAAAATTTCCAATATTTAGCACACTCACTTGTGATGCTCCGGTTTTCTAATCATAAATGTTGTCGCTGTCACGTACCATTTATAACTTATGTCAAAATTTGTCAATCAAAATACTAATATTTAGCGTACGCTAACCTGAACCACACACACAGATATAGTTCAAGTTAGCGTGCGCCAGGAGTATGCTACCATACCACCATTGAGTTTTACTATTTTGTCCCTGAATTAATCAGAGTGTTTTGCTGCGTGATACTATACCCTAACCTCTAATAGGTGAACTCAAGTCCCTAATTCTCTAACCTCTAATTTATGCACATACTTCGTCATACCTATCTTCTATCGTATATTGAGTAAAATCAAAAGTATAGTATACCTTGATATTGGGGGGCTTCTACTGTACCCCGGGTGAGATCTTGGGTACCACATACCTTGAATATGAAAACTCTATCTAGACATTGAATTAACAGGATTTTTGGGCTGGATAATAATACCCTAACCCTTAATGAGTGAATCCTAGGTCCTAATTATCTAAATCATAAACTATAAACCCTAAGATGGTGCATTCATTATTTGCTTATATTTGTACGAATCATAACCGTTGATAATTGTTTTCTAATTAAATTGATCTTGGGGTATAAGATTTAGAGAATTAAAACCTAGATTTTGATCTCTAAGGGTTGGAGTATAGTATCATGTCCGAAAGATCAGTCAATTCAAGGCCTGGATAACGTTTTCATACTCAAGGTATGCGGTACCCTGAATTTCACCCTAGGTATAGTAGAAATCACCCCTTGATATTATATATATATATATATGTGTGTGTGTGTGTATATATATATACTCAAAATTATCCAAATACTTCGTCAGACCTATCCTATCTCGCTTAATACTTATATTAAAAGTGCTACTTGCCTATCCCCCACCCCAGGATAGAGATCGGGTATTACCCCCATGACGTCAGAAAAACATTGGGGTTGTCTATCGTTTGATATGTTATATATAAAGAGGCAAATTCTAAGATCATGCTATTTATTTCTTATCCTCTCTCGCAGCCCCCTTTATAAAGAAGAATAGAGTAGGGATGACAAGATGATAGCTTGATATGCTTTTATTTTGCTCATCGTATTGGAGGTTATTTTCTTTTATGCTTTTTTGGGCTTCTTTTCATTCTTCTTTGTAACCTACGGTTGTGATCAGAAGTATTTAGCCCCCGAAAGGGATTGAGATTTTAGGTCATTTGAAAATCCAATATAAATTCATGATCATCGAGTTTGGACGAACTCTCGACCAATGTTGTAAAGATACTTCATTATTGGATCAATTTATTCATCCATATTGAAACTTGACACACAATGTAGCCCTCATGATGATTAGATTCTCCAATCTCGACTCATTTTCATATTGGATGTTAGTTTTTTTTATCAAGACACTGAAATTTAGTATATTATATAATATGTATCAATTGTTAATTCTTGAAGTTTAGACTAAACATCAACCCGTGGTCATTGTTTATATATTGGCTTAACATGGTCGTTGAATGTGTAATTTTCAAAGATTTTATCACTTATATATTAATAATTGATAAAGAGTGTCTACAATACACACATATTTCAAGTGCATTTAAAATGTCTTATCATTTGATTATTTGCATTAACTTATTATCTTATACAACATAGATCAATTTGTGTTTCTCGAGTTTGGCGAACTGGCAACCAATTTTGAGAGTTGAAATGATTGGATAAAGATACTTGATTGCTGGATAAATATTTTATCCCAATTGACTATCTTACTAATAGTTGCCAACCTTTATTTGGTAAGTGCCTAGGTTATTAGTTAATAAAACGTGATGTTTATCATAGATTCTCAAAAAAGACTTCTCTAACCTTCTCATATGTTATTTTTCAAGGAATCTTGTGTCTCATCCTAGGTATGAAGTCAAAGTTCGTCAACAATCATACTTAAGCCATTTTGAAAATTTTGATTTATAATCGTCGACTATAACTCCAAGTCTGAAAGAAAATTTCTTAGCATACGACTTAGGACCTCAATAGAGCTTGCTCAATCAAACATGATATAGAGCAAATATTATTAATGTGAACTTGGGACATATTATAAAATTATTGCACATGCAATCAGGGGCGTAGCCGGAATTTGACTTAGGGTGGGTCCAAAATGAAGAACTATAAAATATTTTTTAATAAAAAATAAATTTATTAATACTTACAATATTCATAACGTATTTTCAAAAGTTTCAAAAATACGTTCATCATCCAACTTAGCTAATAGCTACTATACAACAACAGAAGACCAACGGAGATCAGGAGATGGTCGTCTACAACAGGACGGGAGGTGGGCAGATTAGGCGAGAGTTTGGGGGTAGTTGAGCTTGGTTTGGGAAGGAGTTGTAGAATAACAAATGAAGGGGAATTTTGAAATAAACAATTAGATATATGTTTGACTTTTTTGTTTATGTAAAATTTAGTTTTGTTTATATGAGTACTTCTACTATACTTTAAAGTACAATTTGAAGTTTTAACATAACGTGAAAAGTATAAATTAAAGGTAAAATCTCAAATTATACCATAATGTCAAATGTACAACTTCAAATTGTACCATAAAAACAAAAACTAAAATATAAATGCTTTATAGCATTATAAAATTTCTCTTGTGTATATACCTACTAATGTTCAATTTATCACAAAATATCTGGTTACCTACTGGCAAATCCTTTATGCTATCTTGGGAGGGAAGTGATGTTGATTTCTATTCTGATTGGCTGCCCTCAAACGTTTCTTATTTTTGGTCTTTTGGACAATATGCAGGGTGGTTCCCGGGACCCAGGTAGTTCTACTCTGCTGCCTCCGCCCCTGCATGCAATTCCTCTTCATTTGAGGAGCTTAAGGTAGAACATGATCTGAATGAATAAGAAGTCTTTTTTTATAAATAACTGTAACTACTCGATCAAGATTATATTCTAACATTTTTCTAAATAATATTTTTTTTTTGATTTTATAGACATATTCTTTACGAATAAGAGAGTGTTTCATTGCAACAAAATATAAAGTAATATAGTTTATTTTCCAAAGGTAATTGAATGTCAAATGTTTATTTTCTCTCTTTTCATATATATTTTGTTTAATCGATAAAATCATCATTGTTTATGTGTATGCTTGTTTAATCTTCTCATCAAAATGTAATTTATCATTCAGTTTTAGTAAAAATGAGTAGAAAATTTCCTTCATAAGGTTTAATTAGATTTGTTTTTTGAACAAATGTGATATATGTCACTCTCTGTTTTCTTATTTATATTTTGTATACTTGACAAAAAAATTATTATTTATGTGTGTTTGGTTAAGTTTA